ACAGCTGCTTTCGGGGGCAGCGCAGCTGCAGCTGAAAAGTTGAGAAGCTACAGCTGCGCCAAACATACCCTAAGAAGAATATTTGTATTTCTCAAGATATTCTCAAGTAGTTCATGGTGTGTATCCAACATAATCGTTATGAAAACTTTGTAAGAAAATCTAGCATTATCCTTGTGTGTGAAAAGATTGCATGAATTCCTTTATTTTTTACACATCTTACTGGATGAAATTGAACTTTAAAGAAATGTAATCGTTATGAAAACTTTGTAAGAAAATCTAGCATCATCCTTGTGTGTGAAAAGGTTGCATGAATTCCTTTATTTTTTACACATCTTACTAGATGAAATTGAACTTTAAAGAAATCTATTTTTATGCTTTTCTCAAGGTATAACAGGTATTAGGAGTAGAGCAAATTAGAAGAAACATGGAGCAAAAAATGAGGGGACTTGAGCAAAAAAGGCAATACAGTAGGCTGGGGCCTTGGTGCCAAACTTCTAGGGCACTTAGGCGTCAATCCCAACTCATGCAAACCAAGAGGTTGATGCTTAGGCCCCAAATGTGAAGGTCAGGGTTTTGGCGCCAGAGTGTCCAGCCTAAATTCTGGTTCCCGAGAGATTGGCACCTGGAGGCCAGCTCCCTGACACCGAAGCGCCAGAAACTGCATGGGCCAATTACAATAGTTTGACCCACCTATTCGAAGAGTCGTTTGGGCGGACTGAAGACAATTTGAACAGAGTATTTGGAGGCTATTTAAAGAGGACTTGAATAATCTTAGAAGAGTTTATCTTTAAAGTAGAGGCTTGCCCTATGGTAGAGAGAGATAGTCTAGAGTGGGGAATTGGTGAGGATTTGTATGTTAAAGTGATGAGGGTTTATAGAGAGCAGCAAGGGCTTTGGTAGAGCATTCTCAAGGCTATATTGAGGGAGAGAGATAAGTATTCTTGTGTTCAAAGTATTGTAATTTATGTAAACAATTTGCGATGTGGATTCTCTTGATTTCAATGAAGTTTTGTGATATTTTCTCTATGTTTTCTGAGTAATATCCTCTACTTCTTCCTTTTGGTTATGTAGTTTGATGCGTAGGACAGTGAAAATGGTTTTGAATTGTCTTCAATCTTTTAATGTGATGATTTTCTTTCTGTATTTCATTTACTTATCATTCTGGCCAAATAATTTGTTAAAATCCGTTCTGAACCCATATTGACTCTAGAGAGCTATGGCATGAACAAATAGGAAGATCATGTTGAATTATAGGGTATGAAGCAAAGTACACTATAGAGAGATACAAATGCTAGGGAAATAATTTTTTATGGGTTCAAAGTGGGGCTTAAAGAGTTAAGGTCACTTTAACCAAATTTTTTTATGCTCTCAGGAGAGGATAAAGAAGAGAAATACTTCTATTTGTCAATAGCAACATTTCAATTTACATTTTCTCATTTTCTACACTCCACTATTATCACTGCAAGGGAAGGTAGCTTTATCACTTGATCATCACTTATTGAATTAGGATAATTAGAATTTTTGTATGAGAAAAAGTTCATTTTTTATGATGATGCTCAACAATGGTATCTCGATCTGTAAATTTTGATGAATTCATCTTAAGTTAGCTTAATGTTGATGTGATTAATGCCCATATCAAGTTCATAAGCTAGGTTTTATCCATTGAAGGAGGTAAGATTGATCCTATGAAAATTTATCTCACATAAAATGCATCAGCAAGTGCTTACCAAATCATGAGTTTCTTATTGTTCTATACATAAATAGCTAAATAAATAAATATCCTTCCTAAAAAAATCAAAGGACTTAATTTGTTAATTAAAATTAATATATGATAATTAGATTTCATATTTTTATTCTTTTATATTATTTTCTATCTAGTATTGTTCATATTTGAGAAAAGAAAAAAAATAATGATCATTGGAACAATCTATAATCGTGATATAACTGTGATTAAATTAGATCTCTTCAAGAATTCTAGTTAAGATCTTTTTTAGGACTTTTGCATTCGAAGAATGAGTTATTTCATTCTAGGATTTAGTGGAAGTTATCATTTCATAAGACACTAGGTTGGATTACTTATATGGATAATAAGAAAGGGATATCTACATTTCCATCCATTTAATCTTTTTTATAGGTTGAGGCTAGCTACATTTAGTTTTTTTTTTTTTTCTATTATATTTTTAAAGAAAGTAATCTATTCCACTTTATAGTAAGGCATATTGTCTCTTTATTTTCTTAGTTTTAAATGTATGACTTACGATGAGTGAATTAATTCCCTTCGAAATTGAATTTTTTTTCCACTTCTCAGTCCTCCTTTGATATTTGAGCTAGTCAAAAAAGCTCATTGTTTTTCTATGCATAAGCCCATTGAATCTACTTTAAGTGCGAGTGGAAAGTTACCAAGAGGTAGTTATCAGCATGGAGAAAGAATAACTATTGATAGTCTCAAGCCCTCACTTGGAGTGCTAGGATAATCAATTCTTTTGGATTGGAAAGTGCACAAATTTTTCTAGATCCAATCGATGGAATATGGTCATTTACTTCACCAAATTTTTTTTCCCCTGTCAATCATCAATTGATTGACACTATATCTTATCTATACCCACCCAACAGTGATAGACTGCTTATATTGTGTGCATTTCTTATTTTGTTATATTGTGCCCATTTTGAAAAAAAAAAATTTTGAATGTTAACTGACATCCCTTTTTGAGAATATCCTAACATCATCGCCAATGCATCTCTTCAATTGACACTTATGGATGTCTTCTTTTTTTTTCGGACATGATGTTTGGTCATTGTTAGGACCTCTTCATTAGCTCACAACATAGTAATTGGATCAACCCGAAGGTCAATTAATTTAGTTTATTTTTTCTCTGGTCATTCGAAAACCTTTCAATCTTGGTAACTGATCCATCTCTTGTACGAATGGCTTCGTTTGGTGCCTCCCTTCAAAGTTGAGGCAAGCAAGAAAAAAGTTTTAAAAAAGAAAAATCATCTTTCATTTATGTGCCATCAATTTGTAGGTTTTCTGATTAAAGTCAACCAATCGACACTCAAGCTGAGCAAAAATCTTCTAAAACTAAAACAAGTGACTAGAATAAGATTTTACCTAACAATCCCAGAGTTGCCAAAAAATGTCCATTATAATAGGTTAAAGTGGATTGCCTAGTGATGTGCCCTTTTCAATAGCAAAGAAGCCATTTCAATCGTTTTCCATTCAATATGTAAGAAAAACATGAGCATTGCTTCAATTATAATATAAAAAAGAAAATTCAAAGCAAAAATAGGACCCTTTTTCTAAGTAATTTCCGTTTGCACTAAACCAATATATCTTTCTCATTATCACATAAAAAATATATGACTGCCTCTGTAGGATTACTGTCTTTTCGATAAAGGACGTAATATGCTATAAATGTCCCACTAGAATGTAAAGGTCTCTCTGGTTCGACATACGAGGTAAAGAATGGGATAATGAGAGGAACATATAAAAAAAAACATTCTCTCACTATTAGATGATGATAGTTGATGACTCGAATCCATCCTGAGAAGCTATTCATAATAAGGGTGAATAAAGGAATTTACATAAATTTCACTCGTTTGTAGATAAGCTTGTCTATATATTTGTTATTATAGTCTCCTTACTAAACTAAAAATCATCAACATTGATGGTCTTCGAAATACAATCATACAAACTTTCATACAGATCTAGAGGGAACATATATAGTCATTCTTCCCTCACATAAAAGAATAACAAAATTTATGACATCTACACCTTTTTCAAAATCACGATCACTTCAACATTTTGGAGCTAGACTCCCCTTGATCCTGTCACACAACTATGCAACGCACCCGACCGCATAGCCCACATACATATGTACATCTTCTTGGATGAGGAGAATGCAACTCCTCCAAACAATAAGAAAAAAGAGAGATGATCCCAGGTTTTCTTTGGTGCTACTCTAAGCAACCTCTACGTAAATTTAATACCATCATTACTATCCTAGTAACACAACAAACAAATAACACAAAACCTCGACATTCATAAATTTAATGATGTTCCAAGGAAACTATATAT